TTTTTTTTTTTTTTTTTTTTGTATTTTTTTGCTGGGAGTCAGGCCTCCATTTATTTCATCTCTAAGCCAAATTCTAAAAATCCTTCCGGCCGCGCAGAGGACCGGCCTTCCTGGATCAGGAGCTGCGTTTGCCTTCCCTTGCTGCGCCCTCTCCTCCTCTCCCCAGGGAAAGGGAGACGTCAGGCCTCAGGAAGGGGCTGGAGATGAGCCGCAGCCCAGACAGCCCCAGAATGTCCTTTTGGCGACGGTTTCTGCCCCAGGGACTTCACCTACGGTCCCCCCTTACCCGGGTTCCAAATACGGAAGCTGGACGTGCCTCGTTGCGGATCCAGGCCTCCCGGAGAAGCTCCAGCGTCGGATTACACTTGCACCCGAGGGTGGAGGGGGGACAGGGTTGGGAATTTGCCCCAAACGCCGCACAGACTCGCAGGAGAGCAAAGGGTTGGCTCCCCCGGCCCTCGGCGGCTACAAGGTCCTGCGGGCCGCGGGCAGGTAACCCTGTGCTGGTTACCTGTCTCGCCCTTGCAGCTACCGGGGCGGGGCCGGGCGTGCTCCCGGGTGGGAATAAAGACAAGGGCGGCGGGCCCAATCCGCAAAGCGCAGTTTTGTTCTTTTTGAGAAAACCAAGATTGCGGGGTTCAATCAGAAGCCGCTCGCCCCGTAGTCCGGTATGTCTTTTTTTTTTTTTCCCCCCCCAGCACCCATTCCTACCTCCGACTTCCCTCTGCTTGCAACGGGCAAACGGGGCAAGGAGGGTGTGTGTGTGTGAATGGTAACTACCTTTTGGGGGGGGTGGTCCCCCCAAATGAAGGGAAAATTTAGGACCCTCTATCCGTCAAAATGATGGAAAAGCGTTTGCAAGGAGTTAGCCTGGGTGCAGGGGATGAGGGGTAGAGGCTCAGAAAATCAAAGATCCTGAGTGAAACAGAGAGGGTTGGGGTGGAGGGAGCGTTCTCCTCTCCCACCGCTGGGGTGTGTTTTTACATGTTTTCTTAGCAGCAAGTTCTATAAACAGGTCAACCCAGCGCTGCTAGCTGGGGCAGTTTGAATCTGTCTCTGGCTTCGACTAGAGACGCTCCTCTTTCTCACTCACCCTTCCTGCAACCCAAACTCGAGGAAGTGGGGGCCCTGCCTCCCACTTCTAACCTGGAGGTTACATTTGCTTTTAAAATAATGCCCCTTGTCTTCAGACAGTAAAATATGAGTCCCCCCACCCCGCATGGCATGTTTGAGTTTGGTTTTCTGGTACCTCAAGCATTTTTTTTTGGAGGAGGGGGGCTGCTCTAATTATCCCTGAGCTGAGTGGGGGGTGGGGCAGAGGATTCTCTCTTTTCAACCTGGCCCTGCTGGGGTGCTGGGGCGCATTATTAAACCCAGACGCTCAGTCCAGGAGTTGGGGCCATGCGGAAAAGATTTACAATTAAGCCAATTGGTGCCGAAGACAGCCATCCAAAGTTTGCAGGTGTAAATAATGCCTTGAATTCCTCCTCCCCCTTTTCAAGCGTCCTCACCTTCCCCCCTCCCCACTTTCTAGGACTACGTAGAGGAAAAAGAGAAAAGACCTTGGGACAGAGTTATGATTTTGCTATTGGACAAGTTAAAATATGATGTGCATTTTCTTTTCTGTTCACGTATTCATGCCCTGAATAACCGGGACAGGCATCTGTTTCATTTCTCCATCTAGAATTTGAGAATTGTTGGAGTCAAAGAAAGGCCTTTGGCTGTAGTTACGGGGTGTGTGTGTGTGTGTGTGTGTGTGTGTGTGTGTTTCCTGGACTGGTGGAGGAGTGAAACTGATTTCTGTATAACAGGGATATTGGCGTTGAATGATAAAGCTTTTGAGTTGCACATAGTTGAAGGATAAAGGAAATTAGGAAATTCCTCTTGGCTAAAATAGTAAAAAGACTGTCCCCAGCTGACTCCAGAGAAGGTGAGCCTGTCTTGCTCCAGAGAGCAAAGCCATAGCTCTTTCTAGAACTTCAATTTAGGTCTCCCTCATGTTGGACGTATACCGAGCTGGGTCCAACCTGATGTCTGTATATTCCCCTGCATTATTTAATGGTAAGACAATATGCATGTAGGGTCTAAAACACTCCCTGTGCGTACAAAGGTGTACATGTAGACATTTTCTCCATAGCCTAGAATATACAATCAAATCTCAGCTATAAAAAAAATGCACTGTAATCACACCCCACCACCCCACCGGCAGACTTATATTGGATCAATATAGACAGAGTGAAATTTGCTTTGCAGTTACACTGTTCCTTTTCTCTCTCGGAGCAATAAAGTCTATCTGTTACAAATTACCAGGGAATTGGAGACTATGCCCCCTCGCCCAATGCCGATTGGTGTTTTCAGTCTCCCACAACCCACTCAATAATATATTTAATATGTGTGTACTCAGGCACTTTTCCAAAAAATTAACGATATCATTCCGGGTGGGTGCAGAGTGGTGGTTTTTCTCTCGTTACATGAAGGATTTGGTGCGCCGAGTTGCCACCCTGTAGCCCCCTATACCAGGGGGATCGACACCCACCGGGACCTCGGGACCTCGTGGAAGACGGAAGACATTTACAGCCTACTTTGCATGCAAAGGCGGAGAGTCTAGGCGCCTGACTCCAGCCACAATAAGGTCATAGGTGTAGAATTATAGAAAGACAGGACTTAACATGTCAGTGGTGAAGAGAGATGAAGAGAGTCACGAAGCCCGGGATGAACCCCCACCCCCTTCCCCAGCTGCCCCAGGAAAGTTTCCAGGCACTGGTGGAGCAAATACTTCCTCTCCTTTAAACACCTCCCTGTCCAGCGTACAGGTAATGCAGAAATACAAGGGGAGACTTGAAAGCTAGGTGAATCGTAAAAGTGCATGCAGAGGCTTCGAGGTGGAGGTGCTATCATTTCAGGGTGGGGACCGGGTGGAGAAAGGGCCCCCAGCTTCCCACTTGGAAACCTCCGCGTCTCGTGCCTCTGGAGAGGCTGGCCGGGAACCACTGCCGAAGGTGCGGGCGCCACGTCGCCGCTGGATGGCGCTCAGGGGAGACGTGGCTGGCGGACAGCCTTTCTCCGTGTGTCCGGAAAGGCCTGAGCGAAGCTCGGTCCACGCGTTGAGTTGCGGTGAGGCCTCCGTTTTGAGCCTCCACGCTGGCAGTTCCAGATACAACGGGAGGCCGAAGCTGTTCCAGCACGTTGGAACAGGAGGTGGTACCCAGAATCTGCCAGATCTGGAAGTTGAGGCAGAAGAGGCTGGGCGAGAGTCAGGGTGTGGAGGGCAGTGGGGTCCCAGGACAAACCAAGGCTCCACCTGCACTCACTCGTGTTGCCAGAGAAAGACGTGTGCGTGCCAGACAGGTGTGAAGAATTGCATGGTTTAGAAACCTCAACGTCTTGCGCCCCCCCCTTCTTTTCTTTTCTTTTCTTTTCTTTTTTTTTTTTTTCTTAGGCTGGGCGAGAGTCAGGGTGTGGAGGGCAGTGGGGTCCCAGGACAAACCAAGGCTCCACCTGCACTCACTCGTGTTGCCAGAGAAAGACGTGTGCGTGCCAGACAGGTGTGAAGAATTGCATGGTTTAGAAACCTCAACGTCTTGCGCCCCCCCTTCTTTTCTCTTCTTTTCTTTTCTTTTTTTTTTTTTACACAAAGGCCAATCTGGTGTGTGGGTCACGTTCCACTTGGGGCTGGTCCTATCTAGGGACAGATGGGAATTGTACCTGGAATCCAGACCTCAGAACTGGGTTGCACTTTTGGTGGGGTTGGTGGGGGTTAGGGGGCGGTGTCCGGAGCCCCTTATGGATTGGGGGGTTGGGGCCTGCTAGTTCATTGCCTGACTGGCTTCAGGGTCTTTTGAAAGGGTCTCTGTCAAGGTGATCCAGACCTCAGACTGACTGTCCTACAGCAGAAAGACAAGCTAAGCTGTGGGCTGCAATATTGAGAAGAGTCCTTTTATCCAACACTTCATTGAGTTTGCGCCATGTCCCAGGCAGTGACTGAGCTGACCGAGCTTGTCAACAGTTAAAAAGCTCCAGGGGAAGGGACCGGCAGGTGGCATGGTGATTAAGGCACTGGACATTCCTGCATGGCTGACTATGGTTCAAGTCCTGGACCCAGTGGCTTGCTTTCTCACTTTCTCTCTCTTACTCTGTCTCTCTCTGATCAAATTTAAATAAATGAATGAAACAATAAGGTTACACAAATAATTATTTAAAAAATATAAAAAGCTCTGGAGGGGTGCCAGGGGACAATCAGCCAGAACAAAACAAAGTCGGTAGGCTACCTGGTCTGGGCAGGAGTGTCTAATATGGAGTCTTGAATTTTGTAAACTCCTACGGGGATGAAACTGATCCTATCTCCAATTCTGACTGAAGAACTTGGTAACTGTTAGGTATCTAATAAACAATTGTTCAATGCATGAATGAAAATCAAGGAAGACAGTAGGACACCAAATGGGACACTCTCCCCACACTTGAAAAACAATTGTTTCTAAAATGCCCTTTTTAAAAAGTACCAAAGGTATTGGATGCACCCCCAAATGGATTCTGATATGAAAAATACAACCATGAAAAGCAGACCTATTCTAATAAGCTAGTGGAAAGAGAGTATTATAAACAGAAAAATCTACTTGCTCAATATTTACTGAGAGGCTTCTATGTGCCAGATATTCTTCCAAGCCCTGGAGGAGTAAGAAACGGGTTCTCTTTGACTGGATGTTTGCAGTCCTGAGTTTTAGGTACTGCGGACGGGGGTGGGTGGGGGGCGGGGGGGGAAGATACTATTCCCATTTTAAAGATGACAAAAATTGAGGCTCAGGAAGGGGTGGTGTTGGAGAAGGTTCTAGTGAATTGGACCATATCCTTTTGCGCTGTGCAGAAGTGGGGCTGGGTGGGTTTTGATCCCCAGGAAGACAGAGTCTGAGATTCCTGAAACCTGGATGGCACTACTGACAGGGTTAGTGAGGTCACCACCCCAGCCAAAGATGGCAGGTTGTGTAGTCTATACCCAGCTGCCTTTGTGCAAAGGACATTTCCAGATCCGACTGCCCAGCTCGGAGCCCAAAGAATCAAACCTCTAGGCTCTGGTGGGTTTCTTCTGTACTAGATCTAGAAACTTCCTGATAGCTAGCTAGGGAGTTTCACGCAATGTTGCATTGTTCAAAAGTGACAGCAAAGAGGTTTCTACACCCCCTCCTGCACCAGGGTTTTGTTTTTGTTTTTGTTTTGCTTCTGGACATAACTTTCCTTCCCTTAGTACACTAAAACTCAGTTCAGACTCTAGGACACCCACCAGTTCGTTTACCAATGTTCGTTGATTGACTGAAGAAGCTAATTCGGTTTAATTTTTGTTTTAGAAACAGATCGGGGTTTTTTTTTTTTTTTTTTTTGGGGGGGGTTTTTCTATAGGGCGTGTGCCCCCGCCCTAAAGAAA